AGTGAATTTCATCAAGCTTTGAATTTACAACTTCATCCAATTGTGAATTAATAGTTCCATCGCGCTTAAAATAAATTGATATTTTCCAATCCCTATAGTCGCGTTCCCAACTTAAACATGAGCGTGCAGAGTATCCTGGCTTTGCGCAGTGGTTGCGCCCGCATTCCCCAGCAGTGTCTACTGGACAGCTGATGGACGTTGGGCCGCGCAGACCACTTGTCCAACCAGCGATTACATCGTTAACTCTTCAGCGACCTCAATGTTCTTGTCCTGGAGTCTTCAGGAGCGATTGGTGGAATTAATGAATGGATACTTAGCTAAGAATCTAGTCAGGCCTTCGTTCTCATTGGCTTCCGAGATCGCACAGTAATGGAAAATATAAACTTAGATGGATGCTATTCTATATTTTAATATTAGTAATAAAAGTTTATTTAGATGATAAATATATATTTTTAACAAATAGTATCGAATAACATTTATTTTGTATTTCGTTAATATTTATATATACTCTCTTCTCATTTTTATTATTATTATTTACTTACAGTTATAGCTACGATTATGTATGCAGTGTGTCCAGCAAGTAAAAGGAAAAAGAAATACATAACGAGATAATAGTCTTTACGATACTGGCAGATCTACAGTGAAAGAGAGGATTAGGACTGAATTTCCTCGCCCCAAAAGGAAATTTTCCATTCTTTTCATTGGCCCATCATATTTTTACTGTAATTGATCTAAGTTAAATACTTTAACAATGTATTTACAGCTACTAAGTATAACCATGTCTTATGAAAAAGTATTACAAATCTATATAAATAAAATAAAGATTTTGTCTGTACATTGAATAGAATCAACCCGTTTTATGACATATTTCCGTTTCATTCATTGCAGACACCAAATCCGATTTAAACAAATTATTTGTCTGTCTGTATGTCAGCATTGCAACGAAATTTTGTCAGAGGTAAGCTCAGCAATGGCTTATTGTAGACTTTTGAAATTTTGACATTATATTAAGATTTACTTGACTTAAAACATAGGCTTTAAATGAAAATAAAATATTGAGTATACCCAAAGTTATGAATTCTTGAGTAATTTGTATAGATATCTCGATTAATGTTGATAATAGACATATGTCTATAAGTTAAAGAACATCTATACAAATAAAATAAAGATTTTTTCTGTACATTGAATTGAATAAACCCGTTCCATGATATATTTCGGTTTCATACATTACAAACACCACATTTAATAATCCATTTTTCAACTTTGTCCGATCTTCCTGTTCAAGGTGTCATTCTATTCAATTTCCCGAGTCTAACAAATGTTGTCGTATATCTTTTTAGGATTAACCAAACGGATTAGTCGGAAATCGGAAGAAATACTTCTAAAAACTAAAATTACATCTCCCCCCTCACCCAATTTTATGAAATTAATTCCCCCCCCCATAATACAATATCCATCTCAAAAAAAGATTCTCAAATTTTAACTATACTCCGTCAACGATGGGTGCATCAGCTAGTTAGTTCTAAAAGAATTATAGTAATGACATTTTTATTAGGACACACAGAATCACTTAAACACTATTTCATATTCTCATTTTTTCTCCAAATTAATTATCCTTGGACATTAATGATGTAATTACAATAAAAGTCGTTACAAATCTGCAATAATCCATCTTTTTCTGAAAAAAACTAAAAAACAAGCTCGCTTAAAATAGTTTTAACAAACATTCTTTTGGAGTAAATTTTATCGAATTTATTATTTATTTATTATGAAACAATTGTTAAATGGTTTATTTGAAATTTTTAGTAGCACGTAAGGTCTACTATCGTTTCATTCTTTTTTTATTTTTTTTTGGGCTTATGGGACATGCTGTACATTTTGTTCAAATATATTTTATTGCCTTTCTTCATCTGGAAGTTGTGGCATGTGTAATGAAGCTCAATTAAAATAACCACTAATCAAAATCCAATATACACATTTTTTAATTTTCTAAGACCACTAGGTTATTTTATTTTCCTCTCTTCCCTGCCTTTAATACAATACGGGGGTTTGCAGCAGTAACTTGATACACATTCCTGCATAACAAATCACTGTCTACATTGAACAATCTTTCTACATTGAAATAAATCGCTGTGCCACCGCTAGATGAGGATCTGTATTGAAGTAAGAAAATATTGCGATTGGGTCAAATTTTCGATGTGCGGATGTCTGAAAAACTCATTTTCAGCCAATGGTCTGTGATCATTATCAAAAGATTATCATTAAAATAATATAAACAAGACTGTCGCGCAAAAACGGTTCTAGCGATTTTGATAAAACTTTCCTATAATTTCTATCTACTTGATGTCCTCTCAATTTTCAGAGATTCCTAAAAAAATGTTTAAAAGAAAAGAAAAATATTTTGGTAAAAAGTATATGTTTTATGGCAAAGTTTTTATAGAATCTTTTAAAAGGAAAGTACTTTTCGGTGAAGTATGGCAGATAAATAAACCTAAAGAGCTTCGAGAAGAACACCTCAGCCAAGTATTAGTAAAATATGTACTTCCGTTACATTCTATAACTACGCAGGTTTTTTTTGGACGCCATCTTAAAAGAAAAGATAATGCCGAGTTCCAAGGATCATCCACGGGTTTTTTTTTTTGGCATTGGTATACATCGAATCTCTAAACAATCGATCCAGTATTCTCTGAGAAAGTCGCGGACGGCATATAGATAGCGGCAGATAGACGGATTTTCCTTTTATTCAGGTTTCGGATTCAATGTATCATAAAACGTAAAACCTCAAATTTTTTCAGTAGATTAACTTTTATTTCTCTATTAATTACAAAGGTTGATTATAAAGTTATAGTTTATTCAATTTTTAAACTAGTTTTAATGATCGTTCACGTTTCCGTCCATATTGATTCTGTTTATTTATAAAATCGTACTATTATCATTTCTCTGACCGTTTTTAGGAAAATTTCTGTAGTTCAATTTTGGTTTATTATTTTCAATAATGAACTATTGTGATCGACCGAAAAATTCAAAAACTCAACCCCCTCTCAAAATTTGATGTTTTAGGTTTCAGGATACGTAGAATTCGAAAAAGGAATACTAATTTTTTTGTCCGTCCGCCGTCCGCTCATTTTCTCCAAAACTACTGCACTGATTTTTTTCAAATTTTGATATAAAATCAGAGGTCATCCGAGGATGATCCTCCTTCATCCACATTACTATCCGCCTTTTACTTATAAAATGGCGACCGAAAAACCTGCGTTGCTATAGACTGTAGCCCCTAAACGAATGTACTGATTCAATGAAACTAGGCTAAAGTAATTTTCTCGACGCTCTTTAAATTTATCTATATACCATACTTCAACGAAAAGAAGCTGGAAAAAAAGTTACGAGGGATGGTAAAATTAAATTCCGATTATCTCAAAAAGTATACACTTTTTTTTCAATATTGTGATAAGATGTTTCAAAGGTATTTAAATTTTCTAAAAGATGAAGGAACTTTCATCGAAATCAAAGTACTATTAGTAGTGATATCTTCATTTTAAAATATTTTTGGTTTATTATTTTCAACAATAATAATAATTCAATGGTTTTTTAAAAGTTTATGGAATTTCCTAAAAAAAAAAAAAAATCGTTAAAATCGGACAATTAGGAGCAAAGATATGGTCTCTATTTTTTTTTATATATGCTGTGCTGCAAAGTTTATATCTATCCTTTGTTATGGTTTTTGAATTTTGAATGTGTTACTGAAGTAATGCTAATTGTTTTAGCATATTACTAATGATTAAAACAAAATGTTTATTCCAATAATTGGAATCACCTTTTATTTATATTTCTTTGTAACTAAGCAGGTAATGTTAATTTAGATGTATAATAGTTTTTAAATAATATAACATTGTAAAACAATTTGTAACGTTTTTTATTAATGGAAAGATTTGAAGTTTTATGAATCTGTCTAAATTCGATAGAAATGCGTATACCAATATTTATTTTGTTTGATTTTAAAACGTTAGTTAGTTCTATTTTAGTTTTCTTTAAAATAATTCATTATTTTAAAAACTTTTCCATGTTTAAATTTGAGAAACGATTTTCCAAAATCATTATTTAGATGAATTTTTGTAAGAAACTGGTTCGCCAATAACCCCATGCAATGAATGTAGAAAACATAATTAGCAGATCAATTTAAAATAAATAGGAAATAATCTGTGTTTAAATCGATAAAGTTGGGAGGGTGGGATGACTGTTTCTCAAACGACAAACATGACAAAATAGTAATAAGATGTAGCATTTTAAAATAAACGAAATTTGTTCAGTCAACTTACTTATAAAGATTTTTTTTGTTCTTTTCAATATAGTTTTGTTACACCATTTTATTTTAAGTTCTAACAGCACCTAATCAATTTTATTATTTTCGAAATGATACAGAAAAAAAAATACTAAAATCATAACTAATGATTTTTTACAATTTATTTCAAGGCCTAATCATCGTTGTGATTGGCCTAGAGTATTAAGCATTTATAATTTTAATAATACTTATTCTTTACAAAGCATTAATTTACTGATTAATGTTATAAACTGGTACATAGCATTACTAAATAATGGAAAAAATACAATATTCGTCGAATTAAAACATGACCACTTTATCATTTTAAACAAATTACGAGACTGAACTTTAACTATATCAATCAACATAAATTTGATGGTATCTATGAAGTATTGTTGAAAAATCCTCCTGTTTTAGTGCTAAATTTTGTCTAGAGTATTTTATACTTTGTTATTATAAATACTTTGTGCAATAGTATTTGTGAAGACCTTCCAGTGTGGATAAGAAGTGACTGAAGAACCTAGTGAATCGTTACTTTAGATTTGTCCAAGAAATTCCCATGAGCTTTCATTTCTGTTAATATTGGGTTAATGAATTTTATTCTTCTTCCTTAAGGCGTTTTAAGATGAATTTATTCATAATGATTACGAATAAATATGAACAGTTAGATTCTTGATAATACCTGAAAATATCAATGCCAGTAATGTTTTTCTAAGTTGAGCGGCATCCACGCATGGAATCTGTTCTGAAATTTTCTTTAAAGCGAGCCAAGCGAAAGCACCAAATATTATCCCAATCGGTGCGTATGCTGGAGTCTGTTTTTCGGGCTCCTGAAGAAATAAAAAATATTTTTTTAAATTTTTATATGAGCAAAACAATAAAGAAATGTTATGAATCAGCAATAACCTGAAGTTATGAATCAGTATAGGACTTCAATGGAAGTCCTGGGCCGACGAGAGAAAAAAAAATGCACCAAAGAAAATATATTGATTGAATGAAAATAATACAAAACGTATTTATTATAGGTCAAATAGTCAAGATAAGTCCAGAATGTCATGATTCCAAAGAGGTGAAATTCGTCAAATTACTTAGTAATTTCATTTTGTAAAATGTTCCCTCATCAATCTAATTGGATGATAAATTTTCAGGAGTAACATTACTTCGAAAGCTCTGAGTGTAAAAGACAATTATTGAGAATTCAGAAACCAGGCTTGGACATAAAGGCAGGCTTTGACTCCGCCAACAGACAAGAAATGTGGGCAGTTTTAACTGCTAAAATTGAATTGCCATTAAATATACACACTATGATTTTAAAAACATATTAGGAATAAACGGATGAGTGACTGAGACCTTTGACATGAGAAAGGAAATGAGGCAGAGTGACAGCCTAATTATTCTTTATTTTAAAGTATTTACGAACGAAATACTGAAAATATATAAGCGGATGACAACACGGACAATTTTAGGAAAGTGGAACATAAAGAAAATCTTAGTTCCTGTTACATTTAGCTGATGATATAGTCCTCATAGGAAAATGAGCTGGAAAGAAAAGTAATGTAGAGGAAAAGTCGGGTAATGCACAGTAGAGAAAGAGGTGATAATTCTGAAGTCAGTGAATCAGTGAAGGTGAATACTTGTAACTTGTACATGTATCTTGTATATATCTTGAATAATTTAGTCAGCAAATTATTTGGATTCTACAAACAGAAATGTTACCCATCTCTCCTCCTCAGACTAAGTACAGTTACCTACATTTTGCTATCTTAAAAGCACATCTGGAAAATCCTTCACCGACTCTTTTACTTACCTACTAAATTGTCAGTACTTGAATACCTTCAGTGTTCGAAACACGGTTATTAAGAGAAAATATTACATTTTTTATAAATTTATCGTATGCATTATTTCATTTATCATTAATGACTATTTTTTTTATTTTTATCATTAACCATTATTTGTTATTGATTGCATTAAAAAATGTTTAGCCCTGATGATGACCCACATGTTTGGGTTGAAACGTCAGCACCAATAAAGACCTGAATAATGCCTGCGTCCTGAATATTTATCAATCATGATATGTAGACAATCGACTAACTTCCTTCAATAATACATTAATTATAATAGTTAGAATTAAGGATTATTTTGAAGCAAACGGATTTTTGTAGCAACCCAGTATAATGAATGAATTTTTAAATTAATCTACAGATCTTTAATTAATACATTTAAGAGGCTTGAAACTGCATGTTGCACTCTTACCTGGCGGAAGAAAATGGAGCAACTTGATTAAATTAATGGATAGATTAATTAAGGAATTCCCTAACTTTTATTTTGATGTTTTCCCGACATCAGGGGAATATTTTTTTTTTATCATTTATAGGCTACAGAGCAATCCAGATTTCCTTTTACCTAATTCATTTATTATTTTCCATAGTTTCTGAACTGCGAATCCCATCATTAAAAGAAACTACTTTTTACTATATTCTATCGGAAAGCATTTTTAGCGAAGTTATTTATAGTAAAACTTATAATGGAATACCTCTTGTCTGAAACTCTCTACATCTAATGTTCCTTGAAATTATGAACTACATCAAATTTCGCTTTTATTAGTTTTGCAAAATAATAATAAAACAATAGGCGCCAATAATAAAGAGTGTGTTTTAAATATGGGATTGTTTAGTAAAATAATAATAATAAATATAAAATCTCGGTCGAATATCACAACCTAAAAGTATTAGAAACATCCTCATTGAAGAAAAGATTATTAAATGAAATAACATTTAAAAGGTATATTTTAATTTGAAATATATTAATTTGTTACTAATGATATTATAAGTGTTCTATAAAAATATTTGTTAAAATCACTAATTTTACTGTTTTTATGTTACATAGAACTTATTATACTTAGTTCTACCATAAATACTGTTAAAAAATTCGAACTTTGTATACATCCTTGGGTATAATTTAGACAATCCTTACCTCTATCAGGTTATTTTTGTTACATGTTAGAATAATAATGCCAATTTTTTTTGTATTTTTGTGTGGTGAACATGGAGTGCGGTGATAAAGAAAACCGAATAGCTGTGATCGCCTTACACAAAGGTAGGAAGTGTTGTAGGCCAGAGATTTTCAACACTCTGAAACCTTTACGTATCAGCCGTATGTTCGTTTACCGCATATAAATAGATATAATGAGACCATATCTGTATGTGGCAGACTTCGACCCAAAAGAAAAACAACAAATCAAGGCTCGTGAAATGGGAATCTCTGTCAGATCAATGTCCCGCCTAATTAAAAGTGACCTTAGGATGGGTGCATTTCGAAGAATCAGAGGACAAATGATAACCACTTCTCTAAACAAAATTAGTGCTCCTTGGTCGTTACACTAATGGGCTTCATCGAAAGATTTTGTTTAGCGATGAGAAAATTTTCACAATTGAAGAAAACTTTAATCACCTCAATGATCATGTGTACGCACATGGTTCTAAAGAAGTCCAAGAAATCATTGGAAGAGTGGAAAGAGATCATCACCCTTCCTAAATGATGGTTTGGTGAAGAGTTTGCTTTGATGGCACCACAAAGGTCCATTTTTGTGAAAAGAGGATCAATTATTTTGGAACCTATTATGAATCCTCTAAATGATGCTCTGTTTGCTGGAAGTCATTGGGTTTTTCAACAGGTTTCCGCTCTAGCGCACAAGGCCATGTCAACTCAGCAGTGGCTGCAAAAGAACATTCCAGAGTTCATCTCAACCAGGCCTCGGATTGGTTCTCAAGACCTGATTTCAAACCACCAGATTATCTTCTTTGGTCCAAACTGGAGAGGATGGCATGCCACAGTGCCCACCCTAACTTGGAAAGGCTCAAACAATCTCTGGTCCGTGCAGTTGAGCGCATTCCTCAAGAAGTGCTGCGTGCTGCTATTGATGACTGGCCACGAAGATGCCTGCGTCAAGGCAAAAGGGGGACATTTTGAGTAATTCCTATTTTGTTTTACTATCTAGATATACATTTTATTTTCTAATAAATTTTTTGAAATATTTTTTTTTCTGTTTAAATCTTTATATATTTCCTTGTAACAATATTTATGACAGGACTAGGTATATTAAGTTCATAGTATAAATTTAAAAATACATTTTTAGAAACTGAGACCCTTCGAAATACCCGTGAAAAGAAGTTCCAGAAATGTTTTTTAAAGAAATCCCACATCCACAAAAGAGATTTCTTCGGTAATTTTCGTCAATGCGAACCAAGGAATTGCACACAATAAGATCCCAATAGGTGCATTCGCCAGACTTTGTCGATAGGGTTCCTAGATAACAAATTAATAAATTAGGCAAATAATTTAGATAAACAAAATTACCTATAAATTTATGAGACTATACCCCAGTAAGCCAAAATAAAAAAAATAGTTATTCCCATTAATATTCCCATATTTAACTGAATATATTCTTATTATAACTAACATATGCAGGATGCAGAAGAAACGGGAGCATGCCATACAAGATACTAATCCTAAAATGTCCTCGAAAAATAATAAGATCGGAGTATTAGAAATAGGATCGGAGTACTAAGTATAAGGACTGTGGTAGGTGGATTTTAAGCTCGAAGAGCAATCTGGCGTATCATACCCGGTCAAGAACTTTCGCTATGACCAAAAATGCACCAGAGCAATACGGCTTGTTTTTAGGGTTGTGGGTACATGGTCATAAACTCGGAGATCTTGTTGGGAACGGAATTCGAATTGACGGGTAGGAAGATTATAGGATTCTATTATAGATAGGATTTCTTGCAGTAGGATCTTTTCAAATTTTCTGAGAGGATTGGGGGTAGGATAGTTGGTCCATAAGATGCTGCATAGTTGAAAGATTTGCCTGGTCTCAAGAAAAGGAAGATGATGGAATATTTCCATAAGAGAGGTAATTGGATAGTTCGTAGGATGCAATTGTGTATATATGAGAGATATGATGGCTTTGGTTGGTACTTGTAGTGGGGTTAGAAGTTCATATACAGGAGATTTACGAAGAGTGATTTTCAGTAGAAAGTATTTGAACTCACATGAATTAACAGCTTTAGGTGGTAAAAAGATATGTACAGAGAGGAATTCTTCTCCTTTTACTGTGTGGGTGGGATGCGATTCCGGATGAGGAGTGAATGTATAGGAAAGGTGTTTGACAAACTCCTCGTCTTTATCTACATCAGAGGCTGCCCAGGAGCCATCACCTGGTTGAAGGGGATAGGAAATATTATGGTATTTGAGAATTTGTTTGGTGATATTCAAAAGGGAATTATCATGAGCAGAGAATGTGGTGAGGCAGGAGTTGAATGATTGGGATCTGATCCTATGATTCTGTGGATAAAAGCTGTCTTTGGATAATTATGAATGAATTAAGCGTTACCGGTAAGCAGATCAGATTGACAAAAGCGTGTGCAAATGATACCAAATGTTGAGTCTTAATACAAGGAGGAGTATCTGAAGTCTTAAAAGTTCGAAATGGCATATGGAAGAGAGATGTATTATCACCCATGTTGTTTATGTTGTTTTAGCATTTAAAAGAGCGAGATGAATGCTATAAGAATCAACCAATAACTCAATTTCGATTCTGGTAACAGATGTTCACTTTCGATATGAAGCCATTCACTTGTTAATTAAGATTTTACAAGCATCAAGAAACCGCATTTGATAATTTTAGCTTTTGAAATTTAAAAATGTATTTATTTATATTTTTTAAATTAATAATATCCGAGCTTCGTTAAATAAACATTTCGTCGGTTTACTGCAAAAATTCAGGAAGTACGTTTTTGATGTAGCCGAAATTTTAAGTACGTTTTGGTGAATTTCTATCCATCGATAAAAACACGAAATGACACAAACTCTTTAATATATTTTAAATGTAGTTACAAGCATCCAATTTTCTGATTTAACATTAGGAAAATTCATCAAACTTCTTAGTGATTTAAGTTTATGAAACGTCACCTAATAACTAATTGCAATTAGCCGACAATTTTTTTTTGAAAGGTTATATATAAAATTTAAAAGATACAAATGGGGTAAGCAAATATGAGAATGAGAAACAACTCCAAAACCTTCTTCTTCTCAAAAAGCTTATTCTTAGTTAGAAAAATATTAGATTGAGGAAAAGCTCTGTGTATGAAATAGCCTCTTGAATATTTCCTTTAACGCATGTTACTGTTTGATCACGTATTCTCTCGTACATTTTGTCCAGATATTTTGATAATCGAATTTTCTTATACAAGTTTTAAATTATTAACATTTGTAATTTTTGGAATGTTTTATTTTTATTTTGTTTGTATTAGATTAGAAAAAAATCAATGCAACTATCAGAAACATGGTATGTACGAATGCCTTCTTATTATAAATTATCGATAACTTTATCGATTATTATTATTATCGATAAAGATATTATCGGTATTTTTGAGATATCGAATTGAGAATCGGAAAAATTATCATTCAGACGGTACAGATACTAAAAATGACTTCCGCAATAGTAGAAAATTAGCTCAAGATCTTTTTTTGAAACGTACCACCTCGATTCCTAGATCGAAACCTGTACGTTTCAGTTATAGGTTACGTATGTATAACAGACGAAGCGCTGTTATTGATACAGCAAATGAGTTCTAGGTATAGCATTATAACGACTTATAGGTATTATATAGTTATAGCAAAAGGCACTTCGTGTTGTTTCCAAGGAAACCTATATAAACTGAATTGATGTTATTGTGAAATTACTGTAAAAAAAACCGTTTGGTCATTAATGAATTTCACAATTAGTAATTTTTCTCACTGATTAATATTAGAAGCTCACTGCTTAGTAGACATACGAAGCTGCTGCTCTGTAAAACGCTCATCCGGTCAGTTCTTACCTGCGGGAGCCAAACATGGACCTTAACAAGACACTATGAAGAATTTTCTTTGAAAGGAGAAAAATATTTGGTCCTGTAAAGGAGGGACTGGATTGGAGAATTCGGAAGAATAGAGAGGTCTACGAATTGTTTACTGAACCTAATGTGGCCAGAATATTAAAATTAGGAAGGGTGAGTGAGGTAGGACACATAGCTCGGATGGAGAGATCTGAAATACCAATAAGAGTGCTTGAGGAGCCATTGCACTATTCAGGGAGAGCTGGCAGACCGAGATTGAGATGAGCGGATGGTGTGGCAGGTGACGATAGAGAAATTTGGCGGGAGCTCATTGAGGAAGCCAGGACTCACTGAGGGTTGTATAGCCATTAAGATGGATAGATTAATATATGATAACTTTTTTCACATCTTTATAAAATATTCAGCTTAATATTCAGTAATAGCATGTATTTCAGAATTATTATATTTTCAAAAAATAAAAATTATTTCATAACCTGTGCAGAATTGATTTCTACATAAAAAACTTAATAGTTAAATTATTCCTATAGCCTGACTCTATGAACATGATTCATGTGTGATATAAACTTTAATTTATTTTAATACTTACCTTCAAAATATCCGAACTTGTAGTAACATGGAGTCCTTACTTGTCATATTTGACTATTAATACTGTACCAATAAACAAACTAGACCTGGGCACTCAAAATAATTTATTTCTGAAATAAATCATATGATTATTTCATGAATGAATTATTTCTGAAATAATATTTCAAATTGCCAATGAAATAACCTCGATGAAATAACTATCAAATTTATTTCTGAAATAATGATTTCAGTTATAATTATTCGTTGAAATAAAGTAATTTATTTCGAAATGAATTATTTCATAATTATTATTTCAGATTTACTTATTTCATAAATAAATTATTCTAAAAAGCATGAAATAATTATTTCCAAAATAACTCAGTACTGAAATAACTTAAAAATCCACCAATATAACAAATATATAATATTTCAATATATAGTATAATCCCACCAGTTCAACCTCTAATCAGCCGGTGACAATGACTATAGGGTGCAAATTTCGCCCAATAAAAAATAAAATTTCTGTTCGGCACACTAAGTTTCATTCATTAAATCTGAAATAATTGATTTCAGAAATATTTTTTTCAATTTATTTCATGAAATAAATTATTTCCGAAATTACTGGGGTAGGTTATTGAACGATTTATTTCGGAAATATTATTTCAAATAAATTCTGCCCAGGTCTAACACAAACGTTGCATTATTCTGTCTCGATTGTAGTATCGATTACTAGTGATCGAGTCTCTGATCCTTATCTTCTGTGTTGCCTTCTTAGTTTTCAGTTCATTATAATCAAGATAGCAAAGTGATACAAGTGAATCATTTCTGCAATAAATGATTATATAAGTAGGTTGTTTTCGGGAAATTGTGGGCGATTGGATTGGATTCCAATCTGCTTATAAGTGTTTGAAGTGTGCACTAAAAGCCTTATTCTGCCTTATTTAATAAAGAATAAGGGATACCAGATTTAATTCTAGAAAAGATGATTTCCCTACCATCAACTATTGTATCATGCCAAGGCATCATTATTGCTACAATTACGTTAAGGCAAACGAGATTAAATTGTCACTAATGCAACCAAACTTCCAAATTTTAACTTTTGTTTTTTCTCCCAACTCCCTTCATCGCCGTACGTTATCTCCACTATGCGGCGTCGCTAGTCACCAGAATGTTAAAGTTTATGCTTTAACACGCTCGACTATTACTACTACTCAATAACTACTAAATAATTTTAATAATAATTGAGACATTTTAAAATATAATGATAACACTTTTTTTATTATTATCAATCGCTATAGACAGATATCACCCATCATTTTGTTTCAAAATAGCTCTGGATTTAGTGGTTTGTTGGTTTCTCTTACTGGTGTGAGTTAAAAAATAAATGAATAAAAAAAAGTCTATTGATTTAGAGATATTTTAATTCCTTTTTTTGTAAGTTTCAAGGTTGGCGTAAGGAAATCTCATTCGTTTCAAATGGATGGATCGGGCGCCAATGTCTACTCCTTTAAATATTTTTCAAGTAATTATTTAAATTAGCTAACGCTTGAAAAACATATATACATTGTATTTCACACTAGAAGTAGGCAGTGCTAGTTTTAATATCTTGATTTGGCAACCAGATGATTTTTTTTTTTTTTTTTTTTATCGGCAACGAGTAAATGTAATAAATTTAAAATACACGTAGGTTCATATAACTTTTATTTTATTTTCAAGGCTCGTTTATTTTCACAGTGAATCCTTATCATCACTGAAATTTTTTCTAAAAATTCGAAAAACTATATTTTCTATTCCAATTTTAATATCATAGCCAATATTAAAAACAATTTAGAGAAATTCTTTATTTTATTTGATATTATTATTGTAAACATTACTTAATATTTCTATTAAAATTGAAATTCATTGTTTTCAACTACTTTCACCCATCGTTTTGCCAGGCATTGGATTTGATGCCGGTACCACTCCTTTGGTTCTGTTGCAAACAACTCTTCTACTCCAATATTTACATCTTCTTAATTATTATAAGATCTGATCTTTTAAAAAATGGGTCATTGGTATAAACAAATCATAATCTGAGTGTGAAATATATTGGTTATACGCAAGATGAGGCAAAACGGTTAATGTTTGCAGTTCCGATAGTTTTTTCTTGGCCAAACCAGAACGATGTGCAAGTGCATTGTCGTGTTAAGGAATGGCTTGGTTCCTAATGATCAAAGTGGAGTACTTTGCCCTCGAAGCTGCATAAACTCTGTCTAGCTGTTCACAAGAAAGGTGAAGGGTTCACCGCCCGACCACCAGCAAGCTCAAAATGCAAAACTCCTTTGAAGTTCCACCAAATTCTAATCATCACTTCCGAAACCGATCTTAGTGAATCTCCGGTTGAGCAGCTTCACCTGGCCTTATCCAATACTTAAGTTTGGTATGTTTATTTAAAGATTTCCACATTAAGTCACTTGTAAAAACATCCTTCCAGAACCTATCATTTTTCGTATTTTAAATAAAAATTTAGCAAATATCAACAAAATTCTGGATTCGGACCCTGTCGAGTAATTTGTCTCAGACCTTGGTTATGAATTCCGCACGTCCAGGATTATAAGATAACGAGCTACTGTATCAATAGAATCCTTTACTTCGCTCTATAAATTACGAGTAGTTCCTTATGGGTCCTTCTTCAGACATTCAAGAAGAACATCATCATTATCAAAGATCGATGGGCGACCGGAACTGATGACCGGGGTTCGTAATCCCATTGTTAAAAAACCTGAACCAAACAGCGGTAGTATCGATGGGTAAACGACTTTCCTTCTATGGCACAAATTTCTTCGGCGCTTGCCTTTGCACTTAGACCTTTTTTTCAGTAATGTCTCAAAAACCCAATAATCACATTTTTTCTTTTGACTTTGCAAGTGCGTTTTAAAAATGTAAATGATATCATTAAACAAAGTCTTAGCGCTCTCGCTCGAACTCCACCGGCTTTAGCACCGGTGAGGAGGTTGAGAGACTAGCGCAGGGATTTATTTGGGTTCCCTGCCTGATTGAATATATTGTATATAGGTATGATTGTATTTTTATGTTTTTAATTTACTTATATTTAGGTTATTTTATTTTTTTATTGTATATAGTTTTTATATATTATTATTTAGTTATTGTTTTACTTTAATTTTATTTTTTTTTTTTTGTATATATGGTGTGAATGTGTTCATTTATCAATATAATTATTGTTCCTGTGACAGAATATTGTATGTCTAAATAAATAAAAAAAAATAAAATAAAAAAAAGTCAAAAGGAATTAAAGGATTGGTGAAAGTAAACATTGTCACAAATAGTAGGAAAAAACATTCTTATAGTATTAATTATGAGAGTTGGAATTAATGGTTATATTCATGCAGAAAGTCTTTTGTAACAAGCTGGTGTATATTCTGAACGATCTAATAAAATAACTAAATAATAATAAATATCTCAAATCTAAAAATATGATTAGGATGTAGATGTTTATAGTAAATGTATCTTAAAAAGTTTGGAGTACTGCTTCAAAATGAATTCAGAACGCTGTAATAAGTTATTAGCTGTTAATTAAATATTATTTATTTTGTTTTACCTTTTTTTTTAAGCTCTAGTGACGCTCTGAAAATTGGGTGGAAACGTAGGCACACAAATGCTATAAATCTCCCATTTTATTGACTTGATTGGCCACATATCCAACCAATTTCATTTTAAAATACATATGTTATTTTCTTCCTTATTCCTTAGTTCCTTATTTTTACTTTTCTTTTTAACAAAATTGCGGAAAGAGCAAACGAAAAGCGGAAAATGGGCAAACGATATTTAATTGTGTAAGAAAACTTACATATAAATAAGCAGTACTTGGGAAATGTTGGTTGGAGGTAGAGATAACAAAGGTTAGAACGCTCTACATGAAATATTATCTTAGTCACAACTTATGTATTATAAGTAACACAATATAATCATTACTTATACTGTTGATTATAATTTCTTGAGATATTTGAATTATTATGTAAATGAATGTGAAATATTGGAAGGATAGAGTAACTCTGACCTCTTTATAAAATATAGAGGAGGCTGAAAGTGCCTTTGTCATCTCATCTCCACCCCTCTCTCCTTCCCTGCTCTAAGGTTTTCTATAATTCTAAGATTTGTAGATTAAGAAAGAAACATCAAATGTCAATTTTGTTTTATTGAAATTAAACAATCTGAATAGCATCTTCGATTTCATATAAGTTTTCACGAACAAAAAACAAAATTACTTTCAAATTCATTCATAACCATCAAGAATCTTAACGTTGGCAGCATCTTGACCTTCGGTTATTTGGCTTGGATCTTGTTCTGGATTTGGATCTTGATTTTGATCCTGATCTAGACTTAGATCTTCCTTTATTGCTTTCTTCATCACCATTAAGTGCCAGGTAAGCTATTTCAAGGACAAAAGCGAGTGAAAACAAAGCCAATATGACTGTCAAAACTTTTATATGCATTGGAACGCTTTGGTTCACAATGAGATACGTGTGGTATCCGAGAGCTGCAAATTTGGCAAGAACGAATATCATTGGGTAAATAACGTTAAGTATTATATCGAGCGCAAAGCACTCCAGCTTGGCGATACATCCCCTTAGAGCAAAGAAGACATTTGGAGCCTCGACAAGAAAGCCAAAAGTGTTGGCGGCTGAAGCTCCTTTCTGTTCAATAATGACGCAGCTGATGGCAATCATGCTGATCAAATGATGGGTGGACGTACTTGGAAATCTCTGGGGGTAGATGTGAAGCATGTAGTATCCTCCTGCCAGGAGAAGGGGAATTTCATCTTGAAGAGTACTCTCTTTTATTTCAGCGTCATGGGGATTCGATCCCTGGGTCCAAGTGTAAGCGTAAGCGCCTGTTCAAAAACTTTATTAATATTTATATACATGAATGATAATATATAATATAAACAATTAGTTATAAATTAGTTAATGTGAAGAAATTAAACTCTACTTATCCAGATCCACTGTCCAGCATATGGCGCTTCGGAACCAACCAGAATCCTCTTCTAAACTTCAGTAAAGGAATCCCCCAATGATGGCCAGGTACTCTAAGACGAGGACGCGTGATAACTAGAATTGCTCAAGTGGCTCCTCGCGTGGCAGGCGGCAACGCGCATTTTTGGTGACCTCGATAGACCGATAGTGTGAGCGAGTTTTCAGCTAATCGTAGCATGTTACGAAGCGTATGAGATAGCCTCTGGCCTTGACTCGAGGGGAGTCATCGAATTCCGATATGAATATGACTGTGTCGATAGGATGCATCTACTGAGTGATTCACGGAGATTCGAAGGCACCAATAGGATATAATATACGGTCCGTATCGTGATTAAAGACTCTAAATGTCGGGGTACCTTTCGACAGGGTTTTCTTCGATTTCGGCATGGAATCTCGAGGCAACAACAGTTTTTAATTTTTTCGTGGTGGAACCAAACATATCGGCTCAACCTACAATATATACATTCAAGCATTGGCCTACACAGACGATGTCCATCCGGTACCAAGGAAACTTCCTTCACATAGTTTAAAGAGTTGTAAGGACAGGCGATCTCGAGGACAATGTGAGGAAAGCAGAGTACGAAAGGAACGCGCACACCCCTTCACCAATGGTGTCACCCACATTCCGTCATTATCAATAGTCATAGTTTCCATGTATTTGAGTATTGAGGTCTTCAAATACCTTAAAACGCAAGTGAACAAAAAAATAAAAATAGTAGCGTTTAATACAAACAATTAAGCTTCAGTCTTTCATTGAGTGCCTAGGTGATCACTTAGAAAACCTATGCAAGCCTGATAGTCATTTGTGGTAGGGAAAGGTTGGTCTTGACTCAGGATATGGAATGAAGCCTATGCCGAGGGACACAACGAGTGCTACAAAATATACTGACATGTCTGCTTTACAGAAGAGTTGAAGATAAAGAAAAACAATAAGCAAATGATATTTCATCAAGCTAATACTGAGTAGGCTGCCCGGTCATGTGAAAGATATGGGTAGTGTAGGTCCCACCGAAAAATGATGAATGGAAAGTCACGAGGCGCCCAAAAACATGGATGTTCTTGATAGAGAGAATCGGGGGACGTTGAGACAGCTGTAATTCAGAAGATTGACAGAACAGTTGCTTCCAAATGAACAGCTTTATCTATTATAAATGAATGAATTCCAGATTCTATAGTCCTATTTTAACTTACTAAATTTTTTTCACGTAATATGACACAAATAACATATTTTCCAGAAATACTTTTATCTTTTTACCTAACATTTCAATAGATTTGGATTACGATCCGATTTAATAACAATCCTTTGAGAATAAAATACAACAATCGAATAAATGCCTAGAATTTTGTAACGTGAAACGTTTTCCTGACAGAAAAATATAAATAAAAATTAAAGACTAATGTTCTGTTCCGAAAAATCTCATTATTTGGCCCTTACAGATCAGATGCGGGACTTACGTATGTATGCACTATGAGATTGGCAGATAGCAGAAATATTTCTTTGAGTAAAGGATATGATTTACGAGGCGGATGAGCGAGAATTGAGATTACTTTATTTACTTTATTTGATGTATTGTAAATATTATCCCTCGACTATACCCAATCTTTGATGAGGCTACATCTTAGTAGATCGCAGAGAAACGATTTGGGAACTGAAAATAATCACCTAGGTCCCTGTTTGTCATAATTAAAACGAAATAGGTTCAATATGACCTTCGACTAGTGTTTACTGCATAAATCATGAAACTTGATAGTAACGAAACTGTAGACATTCTTATGGGTTGGTGAATGACATGGCTATAAATGGCAAGGCCGGATGCTGTATACTCAATGTTTTTCTGACGATATTGCGTATAACAGCAATGTATTTGGCGAGAAAATTCTCATTCTAGTGAGTTCAGAGGATGCAGGATCATACCCCTATTTAAATGAGAGCGAGAAGAAATCAACATTAGGTATTCTGTAACATTGCAATTGGCGTCTCAATCGAGATATCTAAAAGTTTCTCAAACATTCCAATCAGGATGGACATCGTATACCCAATGTAATCTATAAGTTTGCTAAAAATATGGATTTCTTCAGAGATGAATGATAGAACTTAGACTAAGCACAATTCCGATTACTTGTCAACGATTAGAGGTGATTGGGATATGTCAAGTAAGATGGCGACAACTTTGTTGTACGAATGTTTAGATTGATATTGTTGATTTGTTGATCTGAATATTGATTATACTGAAAAGAATAACAAGAGGAAGAAGATAGTTCCAGGTGAAATACTGTCTTGTCTAGAACTGTTCTGGGCTACTGCCGTTGGAGGCTGACAGGTAGTTCGTTTTTAGTGGCTACTAAAGGGCCACTAAGCGGGTTTCTTATTATATTTCAGAAAACGAATATATCAGTTTGTTAAATATCAATTCGGGAATATTCCACATTAAAAATAATTGAAATTTTTATTCCCATCAAAATATTTTTCATAAAATGGAAGTTTCAGTAGGAATGAGCGATATGATTCCTGGAACCATTTAGCATCAAAATTCATTTAGTAATCTATGTGTAATCCTCATCATCGACATTCGCTTAGAATCTCCTAAATTAATCACTCTAGCTAAAAAACGAAAAATCGTCCGAAACTGATATTGCGTATTTAAAATAGGTGTATGCTTTAGATGTGGCAGCAACTTTTTCCTTAAAATCCGCTAACTGGAAGTGCCAAGTTATATCGACGGTAAAACACATGTTTACAATTTTCTCAAAAATGGTTATAACGATTTTGATTAAACTCGGTTTATGATTGCATAATTAAGTGGTCTAACATGTCATTAGGTTTTATCTCCATTGATGTAACTTTACAGAGCTTAAATGCTAAATGTTCATATACGTCTTTCTCTGAAGTACCGTTAATATAATTTATTTTAAAAAATAACTCTCTTTTATTGACAGTAACAATAAAAAATGTCTAAATATGAAGTTTGAAAGAATATGATGACAGGAAACTGGAAAAAAAAAGGAAAATTTTTATCCACTTCGAAAATGAATCTCTAGAAATAACAGTCAGAAGTTATACGTATAATATATCGTTGGAATGCGAAGAATTTCAGAAAAAATAATATCAGATAAATAAAGTCGTAATGGAGAGTGAAGGAAAAAACTATAATTAATAATTTCCGAAAACCATCAGTATTTAACGTAAATCACATGTTTCCAAGGAAATTAATTGAAATTTTCTTACTATGTGTTAAATTTTAATGTGTTAAATGTTTTTCTAAGTTTGAAAAGAAAATATTTAAATTCGACCGAATCAAGCTAATGCAATGGTTTAGAAAACTATTTCATAACTTTTTCAACTAGAAATATCACTAAAATAACATTACTCAAAAATATTGAAATTGGAGTTAGTCATTCTGTCAACTGAAAGGCTCAGCGACTGAAGTGTGGTTTATAAAAGCAGATAGAGTCACGATATTTTTATTGCCTACCGTCGATGTAATAAATAGACTTTTTGTAATTTTAATGATCTTAATGATTTGTTATACGGGTGGAGTAGCTCAGCGGTAGGGTACTGAACTTCCAATGCTAAAGGTCACACGTTCGAACACGGCTCATGGCAGAAAATTTATATATCTGCTTCATTGGCCCTGGGGCACATCCAGCCTCTACAAAATGGGAACCTTTATTTAAATAATTAATTAAGGGAGGAAACCTGGCGGTTGAGCGTGATCTCGGTCAAATCATCTCCTCGCACAACCGTTGATATAAAAACAGTACTTTCCCTAAATAGTACTGAACCCAAGATCCTGCATGGGTTGTAGTCGTTTTTTTTTTTTATTATTTATTATCTATATACGGTTTTTTTTTTTAATGATTTGTTATTTAAAAATTTTATAATAGCCCAGCATTGCCAGAAAATAATTTCTATTCAAAGCAGAGCGCCATGTGAAAGTTGTGTGTTGCGCGCACCAGATTTGTTTTTTTTTTATTTTTAAATGATTTTTTTAAACTGAGAATTTTAACAAATTTTATTTTAATTAGTGTTTAAATAAACTTTTAAGTAAAAAAATGTGTCTTTCTGAAGAAAATAAAAAAAAAATGTAAAAACAAAAAAATATAGAAACTTTTTTTTTTTTTTTGTGAAAACTGATGGCACTATCAAAGCTAGTGCTAAAATGGGCACGTTCGATAATCAATGTGTTTTAGAGGCAGGAAAAGGTGCGGCACATTATTTTAGCACATATTTTAGAGTACAAGGAGCAAAGACAGAAAGTCAAAGACGCCATGATGAGAGGAAAGAAAAAGTCCTGGGAAGAATTTGGAAAAAAGTTGGAAAGTAATTATAAGGAAAACCAGAAACTTTTCTACCGAAGCCTCAGGAGCATGAGGAAGCAGAAGGAACCAGTGCTGAAGCACATCAAGGACAAAAATGGAGACATCATGAGTAGGCCAGTAAACATTATGGAAAGATGGGCGGAATATTTCAAGGAATCACTTGCATATCAAGGGCAGGAAATGGAAGCGAAACGACAGTCTGGCAGCACAGAAGAAACCTGGGAAGAAGATGACTTCATCGGAGAAGTTGCCGAGGCCATATGCTCATTAAAGCTGGGAAAAACGGCTGGTATAGACGGCATTGCTCTAGAAATGTTTAAATATACGGGTTTAAAAGGAATTGAACTGTTCCAGCACCTCCTTAATGTAGTTTGGAAAAATAAAGTTATCCCAAAGGACTGGGAAGTCTCCATCATAATCCCGATTTTCAAAAAAGGAGATAATCGTGAATGTTGGAACCATCGAGGGATATCTCTACTCTACGTCCCTTGCAGAGTTTATTGTAAGGTGCTCGAAAAGCTGCTAAGACTCCTCATAG